GGAGAGGGAGAGGGAGAGGGAGAGGGAGAGGGAGAGGGAGAGGGAGAGGGAGAAGGAGAAGGAGAAGGAGAAGGAGAAGGAGTTGATGGCTTTTATAAAATCTACAGTAACAACCTTCACCTGGCAGGTGGGGAACAACAACACAATTGAATTTGCATTACTAAATCTCGACAAACTGGTTATGAAATGTTGTGAACATAGGCATGCTGTGATTTGGGGAACCGTGAGATAGCATGTGACATGCTCTCATTGCAACCCCAAGCTGCTGGCAGCAACGAGAGCGCAAGAAAAAGCTCAGTGTGATCATCCACGATCTCCACCCGCAATTGAGGCCGCTCCTGAGGACAGGGCTTAGAGAAACCATTGCCAACCGACAAAAGTTGCATTAAGGGGGTCGAACAAATAGTGCAGCTTTTCTAGGGCGCGGCGTGCTGTTGCTGTTAGTCGAGTCATGTCCTACCTCTGGGGCAATATTCATCCAGTAAACCACCATGATGCCAGGCGTTTGGTGCCAAATCTGCGGAAGAATCCTTTCGACATTCCACAGAACTAGTGTGGAAATGGACACACACAAATACACACTGTACACACAGATCCTGTGTTTACACACATAATAACAGTAGAAGGTCGCGACTGAACCTCAAAGTCAGAGTCATCAAGTTATGACATTTTCCAGCCATTTGGATGTCACGCAAACAAAACTAAGCCACCACATCGCATGCATCATACAAGTGCCACTATCAAAAAGTCACCACCATTTTGTCAAATGTCTCTGGCAACGTAAAACGCCAAATACGTCCGCTTAGCACTCCGCCCGGTCCGTTGATTGTTATAGTTTATAGTTACTTTCGAGTGGGTCAATGTTCTGAAAGATCGGGCCTCCGGCCTTGTGACACCAAACATGAAGCAAAGCAAACCAACCATACACCTGTCAACCCATCAAAAATCCGAGCCCCACTTGGAAGTGCTTGGCATTGGGCGACGCAGGCAGCTGCGCCCATGGCCGTAGCTCCGCCCAGCCCAGCAGCCGCTGCTTCCGCAGCGGAGGGCCGCCGCGGCCAGCCGTGTCGTTGGGTGGGGTGGCGGTGCGCCAGGTGCTGCCGAAGGTCCTCGGCGCCCCATGCCAAAATCGGAGAACAACGGAGAAAAAGGCGATGTTGCCCAGAAAAGATGAGGATTCTTGATGATTTGAGCGGTCATCCCGGAGCATCGATGGAATACATGGTGAAAAGCACCTTGAACACTAAGTGGAACGAAAAGAAATGGTCAGAGCGTGTCAGCGTGTCAAATCTGCATCGTGAGTTGCCGAGGATAACAGTATTTACTACAATCAGGGTATGATTTGATGGTGAAAGTGTTGCAGGAATGTCTGACAAGGGTTGACTGGGTGAACGTGTTCGCTACCGAATGCCTCCCCGACC